AAAAAGAAAGAAAAAAGAAAAAAAAAAAGAGAAAAAAAAAAAAAAAGAAAAAAAAACACTACAGTTTCTACGAAAAAAACTCAAACTGAGCCTGTCGCTATGTATATTACAGATGTATACTATATATCGAGACTAAGGGCATCTCAATGTATCTTCGTAGATACATAGAAAAATTCTAATTTTATTTATTTATACACAATCACACACAAAGTATATTTGATTGGTAAATAAATTATTCATAACCTCCTCAATAATTATAGGTCCTAAAAGGTCTTCAAAATAGAGACTATATAAAAGTTTCCAAATATTTTATTTAATTTGAGATTATGTTTTGATTCGAAACTAAAATATCCCACGGTAAAAGAAAAAATTATTATTATTTTTCTTTACTTTTTCTATGGTTGAATATTTATTTCCGCTCCTTCAACTATTCATTTTCGTGGTTAAAGAACTAGAAAAAAATATCTTCCGATGAAATGTTTATTAAAATTTGAGATAATGTAAATAAAAATAATTATCCACAAATTCACACATAAAATTAAGCTATAATCATATTAAAATAATAAAAAAAAATTTATAAGATTTATAAAGTTGTATGAAGAATAATATGGCCAATTGATGGTATAGTCACTTTTCCCCTTGCCTAAAAGTAGATTTGGTTCCTTTTTGCCAAGAAAACAAAAAGGTACAGAACAAATTAATAAAAAGGATATCAAGACAAATAATGCACATGCTGACACGTTATATTGTCTGAATTTAAATATTTATTCATTTCAATAATTAAATCTCTATTATACTTTTTATTTTGGTTCTTAATATTTTTTTTATAACCCTTCTAATATAATTTTTTTATTTTCATATTTTGGTGCAGTGGTCATGGCAAACTATACTGATGGGCTTCTGCTTCCTACTATTCCTTCTTTTCACTAGACATATTGTACGTATTTTTGTTTATCTACTATATAAATTCTATTTTGGGTAGCTTAATTATATAATTAAATCATTAGGCATCCCAGAAATAATTTGTGGTTCATAAAATCTAATTAGCCTTATCAAAAACATCACTATCTACCTAGATGATGTTTGGCTAAGTTTATAAGCAGTTAACAAGAGTTTATAAGATGTTTCAGAGCTTATAAGCTATTCCAAATAATGTTTGGTGATTTTTTTTCTAAAAGATCTTAAAATTTTTAAAAATAAGTTGCTATAGAGCAATTAATTTTTCTTCTAATGAGTAAAAATAGCTTACAAGATCAGTATCCAAATATTTTAAAAATTATTCTGAAAAATAAGACGTAACGGTGCATCAGCTCTTAAAACATCTTATCAAACAAATATAAGAGTTTATCGATTGTTTAAAATAAGGTTACCCAAACGGGCCCTTAATGACATGTCTTTTATATGCATTTGTAAAGGGCCTAACATGATTTTCAAGATTATTTTTTAAAGAAAGTAGGAAAACTTTTTATCTAGAGTCACTCAAAATCTACTTTTTTTGACTTGTTTAAAACTCAATGCAGATAGCAACTTGTTTTATCCTACGTCTATTTGCAATCCTACTTAATCATTGTTGAGTACAATATTTATCATGTTTTTACTTAACCCGTGAACCAACTAATCTGACAAAATCTTGAGTAATTTTTTTTTGGTCCTTTCTAAAGTTTAATTTTGCCTCTATTTAGGACAGTGTTTACTGTTTAGTGTCATTTTTCTGACACTCTGTAATAGTTTTTAAGAAAGAAATTAAAACCTATATAGAGTTTGGTTTCGGGTCTCGGTTTCATTTTGAATTTTTAGCAAGTACTTTTTTCGATGTTGGCGATTGTCACACATGCAAAATAGACAATTAGCATGACATGATTCGTTTTACCGATTTTAACCTATGTAACATAATATACGAAAAAAAAACTAATTCGATTTAAATTTGATCATAGTATATATCTCGAAATGTGATTATATATGCAGAGTATGAGGAAACCGAAGCTGTTTTGGATATCAGCCGGTGCTCCTTTACTATCTGTCATCCTTTCGACTCTTCTCGTTTTTGCATTCAAAGCTCAAAATCACGGCATCAGCGTAGTAAGTTTTCTATTTTTGTGCTCTGTTATGTAATAATCTTATTTTACTTTTCTAATATTTATTAATAAAAAAAAAACAAATTTTGTCAAGTAAAGATTGGGAAGCTACAAGAAGGGTTGAATCCTCCGTCGTGGAACATGTTACATTTTCACGATAACTACTTGGGACTTGTAATGAAAACCGGCCTCGTCACCGGCATCATTTCACTTACCGTAAGTAAATTATATGAATCACTTTTAATTTATTCGTATTTTTTTTTGCTAATTAATAATTATGTTGTACTAATGAAATTAATTAATTAATTAACAGGAAGGAATCGCGGTTGGAAGGACTTTTGCTGCATTGAAAAATTACCAGGTCGATGGAAATAAGGAAATGATTGCGATTGGTGTAATGAACATCGTCGGCTCGTCCACTTCTTGCTATATCACAACAGGTACCGATTCTACAAAAAAAAAATTTAATTAAAAAAAAAAAAAAAAATCGTAATTGTATTTCTAAAATTGCAGGTGCGTTTTCAAGGTCGGCGGTTAACCACAATGCGGGCTGCAAAACAGCGGTTTCGAATATAATAATGGCGGTTACAGTAATGGTGACACTTTTATTTCTAATGCCGTTGTTTCAGTACACGCCGAACGTTGTTTTGGGTGCGATTATTGTTACAGCTGTGATTGGACTAATCGACATTCCCGCTGCATGTCAAATTTGGAAAATCGACAAATTCGATTTCGTTGTGATGCTATGTGCATTTTTGGGAGTGCTCTTTATCTCCGTTCAAGAAGGCCTAGCTATCGCGGTGAGAGAGATTTTCTCGTTATTTTTATAACATAACATAATATGAAATTTAAGGTAACGTCGATGATGATTATAATTTTATAATGTTGTTTAGGTGGGAATATCTATTTTCAAGATTCTAATGCAAGTGACGAGGCCTAAAACCGTAATGATGGGGAATATTCCCGGTACGGATATTTATCGGGATCTTCACCATTACAAAGATGCTGCGGCTGTGCCTGGATTCGTGATTCTCGGAATCGAAGCTCCGATTAACTTTGTCAATACCACTTACCTTAAAGAAAGGTTGTTTTTCAGTTTGTCTCAAAGTTATCGAGAAACCATCTCGTTTTTTTTTTTTTTTTTTTGGTTGTTTCTTTTGCATGAGCTTTACTTGTTTGGTTTGATTGTACTCAGGATTACGAGATGGATCGAAGATTCCGAATCGGAGAATGATGGGGCTAAGAAGAAGTCCGGACTACTTAAGTTTGTGATTCTTGATTTGTCTGGTGAGTTTCTTGAAAATTAATCAATCTTTAGTCTCCTTTTTGTCAATTTTGACTTAGAGGATGTTTGGCTAAGCTTATAAGATGGTTTATAGCTTATAAGCTCTTCTAAAGTGTTTGGTAAATTTTTAAGAAAAATCTTATTTAAAAAAAAAATAAGTTGTTGGAGATCAGATAAGATCTTTTAAAAAAAGTACATCTACCCCACCTTTTTATTTAAGATCTTATAATGAGTGAAAATAGGAAATAAACTCATTATTCAAACACTCTAAAAATTAATCCTAAAAATAATATGTAACAGCTTATCACCTCTTAAAACATCTTATCAGACGTAAGAGCTTATCAACTGTTTAAAATGAGCTTATCCAAACAACCTCTTAATTATTGAAACCCTTTTCAGCTGTGAGTGCAATTGATACAAGTGGAGTTTCATTCTTCAAAGATTTGAGGATGGCATTGGAGAAAAAGAACTTGGAGGCAAGTCCCTTTTTTATTTCAATATTTTTTACTAAATTAGAAAAAAATTAGTAACTTTAAATTGTTTTATTTATTTTTATTTTGTTTTTGTGACAGCTTGTATTGGTTAATCCAATTGGGGAGGTGATAGAGAAATTGCAGCAAGGAGATGAAGCAAAAGAGTTGGCAAGACCAGATGCAATGTTCTTGACTGTTGGGGAAGCAGTAACTACTCTCCTCTCAACAATTAAGACCAATTCATCTGCTTATGTATGATGATTTGATGAGAGGTCTAATAATAATATCAATACTTCCTTTTTTTTTTTTTTTTTTTTTTTTTTTTTTTTTTTTTTGTTTTTCTAATTTTATTTGGCTGTGAAATGATATATATGTATATTTTTCCAAGACAAGTTCACTTGAAACATTTATGTGTAATATTTTCTGAAATGAAATATCCTTAATAATTATTGTGCCTCTCCTTTCCATTAATTAAATATGGTATTTTATATCATTTTAATTAACATCCATAATTTAACAATAATTATTTACTGTTATGAATTCTTTGAAGTGGTGGATGCCCACCATTACACCACCATTACTCCCACTACCACCACCACAACTCCCACCATCATCTCCACCATTATTCATCATTAAAAGTGTTGTACTCTTGACATTTGAGAGGTCTTTCTTGTACTATATATACAACACAATGTAAATGTTTTTTATACACAAGAAGAAGAAGAGAAATACATATTGCATTCTCTCTATTTACTCTCTTATGTTCTCTTTGTTATGTTGTCTTCTTCTTCATTTTCTAACACGTTATCAGCACGATTGTTCTATTTTATTTTTGATGAAGATGATCCAAAGAAGGCGAACATCTCAGCGTTGAAAAGGGAGTTTATTTCACATATATTTTTGTTGTTTTAAGTTGACGAAAATATTAACAATCTCGTTTTTGTTGTAGGTGAATTTTCGCACAATTTACATGGTCAAACTTTGAGTCCAGTTTCGGACCTGATATTGTCCGAATTTGATAAAATGTAAAACACGAAAGTTGTAGTACTTTCGGTTGGCTGTTCATAGCATCTTGCATCGTTGAGATTGGATCTCGAATGAGAGAGATACAAGCAAATTACTCAGACATGACAGATTTGTCATTTGTGGACATTTTTCAAGTCCACAAAATATTGAAATGAGAAAATTGATAATTGATCATAATCAATTTATGGCTTGAAGCCTAGATCACATTTTGAGACTATAAGTCTCAATAGAATATGATAGACTCAAAGTTTATGCGATAATAATACTCAAACTTAAGATTTGAGTTGATATGTATTTCTCATTCATAGCACTATTATTCTATGGTTAAGTACTATGATGATCTAAATCATATATATATATAGGCTTGAGGCCTACATCGAGTACACAAAGTCAAGTTATAAACCTCATATATGTACTCGAAAAGATTATTTGTTGGTGATTCAATAATATGAAAAATATCACGAGGTTTGAAATTATCTTGATTGTTCAACAAAAATAGAAAATAAAAAATCATGAGATATGGATCGATTTAAGTTGAAGATCCATTTATGTGTCATGAAAACATAAACTATTTCATGTTGGTGATATATGTTTTGAAGTCACAAGCCACATACTTCATACTTAAATGTGGCTACAAGACACAAACAAAGTATTTTGTGTCATGAAAATAAAAATTGGTGGCATGTGTCTTGCACAAACAAGTAAAAGTAACAAAAATATAGTTACTTATGGAGATATAAGAGAGTATTCTCCAATATATGTGACTTGAAAAACTCCATCAATAGCAAATATTATGGATATATATTATGCTTATGAAGTAGCAACATAACAACTAAAGTTGCTCATATAGTATCAATATCAAGAAAATATGATGGCATATCATATTTTTATTCGAGTTTGGGAGCTAAAATTGAAATATTGCGAAGCTCGTTCAAGTTTTGTTATTCCTTGAAGTGGATACAACAACTATTCAATATTTAAAGAGATATCTTGTGATTAATAGATACTTTGGTGCTTATTTTATCACAATTTTTCTCTCATCATTAGAAGTGGAAGAGAGATGAGAAATATGAAAAATGTTGGTCATGAATCCATGTTATGATAAAACATTTTGATAAGTTTTATCAAGCACCAATATAAAAAATAACAAAAAAATTGTGTCACATTTTGGACATGGCATATCTATCGCATGTTTTATTACATGTAGATTACAATCGATTATTTATGCGATTAAATAATCCCTAATTGGAGATAATTATATGACATACTTTGTCAATTGTGTTTATATGAGACAATTTTCCCGCCGTTAGGGGGAGATTAGAAGCCGATTTATTTACATGGAACGGCGTGAAATTATATAATATAATATGTCTCATCTTGGTTTGTGCATCAAAGAATTAACACACATTACAAAAGAATACATTGCAACAATCTTATAAGTAAAATGCGAGATGCATTGATTGAAAAATGTGTTACAAATGAATACCCTAGAAGGGTGAAAAGAGAATGTCCGAGAAGGACATGTTGTACATTGTGATTGCATCGAGAAGTCCCTTGAAGGGTGAATATGGTACACTAGCTAACCAATTATAATTTATGCATATAAGAGGGGGAGATATTTATGTTGGTTCGAATGATTAGCACCTCAAGAAGTGGGTGAATATCGTTTAACTAAAAGTCTGCTAGCGCTAGTAGCATTGTAATCTCATCCTATTATTTATCCCATTTGATGAAGGGAATCGTCTTACAGACGATGTTGGGGGACGCCTTAACACCAATATCCATGAATATGATTTGAAAATCTTTGCCGATTACGGTGGCATAAATCAAATTTATATTTGGATGAGAAAATCATTGATGATTATACGGTAGATACCGAAATCATTTACAATCGAACCGAAGTGCCAATAAAGAGTTTGGCAAATAAATCATGGTTAGCTTGCTCTCTAAATGAAATAGAGAGACATTTGAGACTAGTAGTTCTCAAGTATTTGTTGTACCAATCTATCATTTTGAAGAATTAGAATATCTTTGAATTGATTTTCATGTACCAAAGTGATTTTGTTAATATTGACTTTGAAAATGTAGTGGACCTATAGTCCCTTATTACTCCCTCCATATTGTGAAACTCAAAAGCGTGCGTTTAAGTCCTTATCGGACATTTAGTGAAAGAATTAATGAGCTCAAGCACATAAAGTATTATGAAAACTTTATTGGTGCATGATATAAAATTCTCTACAAGAGAAAAATACATAGTACATGAAAAATATAGATCTCTTGAAGAGATCGTACCCACGAAGGCTACTATCCCCATTTGTATGAATATAATTCTCCGAGGAGAATCCGGTACCGGAAAAGTGAAATAACAAGAGATGGCTTGATTATCTAGAAAATGGGGAGTACGAAGGATATTATTGATAAATATGTGCGTGCAATTATTTTTAAACAGTGAAGAACTTGTATCTCATAAATGTAAATGCATGTCGACATCCAATTGGCCATATAGTTAGAAAATGTATATGGCAATGGAAATTTGAAATTAGAAATGAGATAATAAATTGCACATTGACTTGAAGTCAACACATATGAAGTTGTGGAGCCTTTAGTACAAAAGTGGGTAGTATTATCGCGGTACATTTGAATACCTTTTTGAAAATATTTTATTATGAGAACGATGCAATCAATTTTCGGTATTCAAATGACTTGACATACAACATGTGTATACAAATACCGCATGTCTATATGGATCATCAAATAATAACAATGAAGTAAATTCTTGAAAATATAATGCTTGTAGCATATAATAAAAGGTCTCATGAGTTAGACCATTGTGATGATCCATACACAAATTAATAATTATGTTGGTATAGTCACTTTAGTGAATACCATATTAGCGAAATGAATAATCAAATGATTCGTTTATCGTATATATGAATGACTTAGTCTTGTGAAGCTCTTGAAGAGCTCACATAGGCATATTTGATGAAAGAGATTGAGATCAATTGAAGGATAAATTTTATAGATCGAACATTTGTTTTATGGAATTTGTTTCCATCATTTTATGTGATAAGCCTCATTCACTGATTGTCCGATCTTTGAATATATCAAAAGAGGCCGCCGAAATATTAAAGTTTTCTAAACTCGCGAGTTAAAGAAGAAAGATGATTTTTGCAATCATCATTAACTATATGTCGGAGATCTATCATTGAATCATTGAGAAAATGATTAAACTCAATCTCATGTCGAATTCAGGGGGAGCGTGATCAATAATTCCAACATTGTACTCTTTTTCCTTCGTCCAAGTTTTTGTCCCAATGGGTTTTTCTTGGCAATGTTTTAACGAGGCAGTGTGACGCTCATAAGCTTTAAATGGATGTGTACTCTTTTCTCCTTCGATTAGGTTTTGTCCCACTGGGTTTTCCTAACAAGGTTTTTAACGAGGCATATTCCATAGATGGTGGACATCCAAGGGGGAGTGTTATGAATTCTTTGAAGTGGTGGATGCCCACCATTACACCACCATTACTCCCACTACCACCACCACAACTCCCACCATCATCTCCACCATTATTCATCATTAAAAGTGTTGTACTCTTGACATTTGAGAGGTCTTTCTTGTACTATATATAAACACAATGTAAATGTTTTTTATACACAAGAAGAAGAAGAGAAATACATATTGCATTCTCTCTATTTACTCTCTTATGTTCTCTTTGTTATGTTGTCTTCTTCTTCATTTTCTAACATTTACTAATTTATAATATTTATTGATAAAATTGTCTATTTACTATTTAGTCCCTACTTATGACCCTGAACCAACTTCTTGTTATTCCCTCTTTTCCATTTTATTTGTCTTTCTAGAGAAATTTTTTATTTAAAATAATTGTCACTTTAGGATTCCAACGAAGTATTTATTGTGGTTTTCTCAATTATGCCCTTACTACTCTTAAGAGAATTAATGATAAAACATTTATAAAAATAGTCTTTTAGTCATTTTATTATGATATTTCTAGAATCCATGCATATTTATTAGGTTTTTTTTTTTCTTTTTTTTTTTGTTGAGAATAAATGGAAGATTTATTAGGCACACATGGCCAAAGATGGGGGATGAGAATGCCCTTCCAGAGAATCCAAAACTAAGATTGTAGCAAGGTTATGAGCGAGGCTATTGCCCTGTCTCTTAAAAAAGAAAAAAAGAACTGAAAGAAAACAAAGCAGCAATAATAAAACGTTCA